TCATTTTAGTGATATTGGCCAGTTTCCAGAGCCCTCGTATGATTTTCATGGGATATTGCTGTTGATCTGCACTTAAACCCGTTCTGGCAATATTGGCGAGTTTCCACATCTGTCTCATGATTTTCATGAGATATTGACATTGAGTGGCACCCGGCTCTATTTTGGCGATATTTGCCATTTTCCGAAACTTACCTATGATTTTCAAAGAACATCGACATTGACCTGCAGTTATACCAATTTTCGCGATATTTGGTCAGTTTGAAAATTTTCCATGGCATATCGACATTGACTCGCATTTGGATCCATTTTAACGAAATATTGGCAAATCTCTGCTACTTTACCATAATATTCATGGGATATTTGGAAACATCGATTTTGGCGATATTGGCTAAGTGCTGCGACTTTTCTGTGTCTTCTGTGGGAAATTGTCATTGACTGCACTGGATCCATTTAGGCGAAATTAGCCAGTTTCCACGACTTTCTTACGATTCTCACGGGAAGTTGCCATTGATTCGCACCTTAACCCATTTTGGCGATTTCAGCCAATCTCTTCGACTTTCCAATGATTTTCATGGGATCTTAGCATTGACCCTCAATTGGACCCATTTTTGTTATTTTGGTCAATCCCTGCGACTTTCTTATGATTTTCATGAGATGTCAACGTTGACCCGCACTTGCACCCATCTTGGCGATATTTGTTAGTTTCTACAACTTGCTTATAACGATTTTGACTCACACCTGGACCCATTTAGGCGAAAGTAGCCAGTTTCCACGACTTTCTTACGATTCTCATGGGAAGTTGACACTGATTCGCACCCTAACCCATTTTGGTGATTTCAGCCAATCTCTTCGACTTTCCAATGATTTTCATGTGATCTTAGCATTGACCCGCAATTGGACCCATTTTTGTGATTTTGGTCAATCCCTGCGACTTTCTTTCAGTGTTAAGCGTGTTTAACTCAAAGTGACGGGCTTATTGAACCATTCTGAAAGGGTTTTTCTTTATGAGAGTATAGACCCATCTTTTTATGAGATGTCAATATTGACACGCACTTGGACCCATTTTGGAGATATTTGCCAGTTTCCACAACTTGATTATAACGATTTTGACTCCCACTTGGACCCATTTAGGCGAAAGTAGCCAGTTTCCACGACTTTCTTTCGATTCTCATGGGAAGTTGACATTGATTCGCACCCTAACTCATTTTGGTGATTTCAGCCAATCTCTTCGACTTTCCAATGATTTTCATGGGATCTTAGCATTGACCCTCAATTGGACCCATTTTTTGTGATTTTGGTCAATCCATGCGACTTTCTTATCATTTTCATGAGATGTCAACATTGACCCGCACTTGCACCCATTTTGGCGATATTTGCCAGTTTCCACAACTTGCTTATAACGATTTTGACTCCCACTTGGACCCATTTTAGCGATATTGCCCAGTTTCTACAAGTTCCTCACGATCTTTGTGGGATATCGACACTGACTTGTAATTGGACCCATTTTGGCCATAAAGGCCAGTTTCCACAACTTTCTTATGGTATTTATGGGACACTTGGACCCATTTTGCCGACATTGGCCAATTCCTCGACTTCCTCGTCGCTCTTATGGGATATTGCTCTTGACCCACACTCACACTCTCACTCATTTTAGCAAAATTGCGAACCTTAGATGTTCTTGACTCATGTAATAATGCACTAAATAATTTTAATAAAGGTCGCCATTGCCATGCGTTAAAATACTTGTCCCGCGAACAAAGACACTTAGGCCAAAATGCTGAAACTTTTTCAATTTAATCAGGCTTCAAACGTCACAACAAAATGACCAGGTAAGGATGCGTCAAGGAGCCAAAGTCGATAAAACAAGATTGAATTAATTCGTGGAGGAGAGCTGTTATTTGTCGTGTAAAGTGACTGACTAGTTGACACTGAGCTTAATTTTTTTTAGCTGATTGGTAACACTTGTTCGTAGATTTACATTCTTGAGTGAAAGAGGAAAAGGAACAGGCAGTTGAAACGACTCACAAGTTACAATCAAGATATTTCTGTGTTTAAATCTGAACTATCTGAATCAGATTCACTGTCACTTCCGTATTCAGCATTGAGAACGGAACGCAGGTCCTCAAAGACTTCACTTTGGCCAAGCTGTTGAACCACGTCAGCTTCATCAGTGTTGTAATCGTCCTCCATCTGAACCTCCTCATCGGCATCATCACAATCCACTTCGGGGAAAATTCCAAGGTCAAACTGAGCTTCACATTCCTCATGGCTACCATCATCATTAGAAAAGAGACCGTGGAGATGACCTGTGAATACGGAAAGCTCATCCATTTTAGTGCGGGCAATGGAGAGTAATGCGCGAGCTCGCTCCGTATCTTTCTGTGCCATCAGTTCCTTTGACCAAGTGTCCAATACCTTCAACTTTCCCTCGAAATGACTGAACATCCGAGCCATTTCTTCTTCTGGTGTTGGCTATTTCCTCTAAGCATCTTTTGCGTGTGTGAAACAAATCAATGAGTTGCCTCTTTAAACAATAGGGAACAGCAGACTGCGGTTGGATGTCATCGTTTAGTACACGCCACAGTGGACTGTCGATGCTTAGCGCGTCTTCAACCGCAATTGTGGAGGGGTATTTACAACCCACCGTGTCAACGTTTTGTCTTGTGTACTCCTTGACCAGCTGTTTAATGGCTCCCGTTGCCTTTGTAATTTGCGTACAAAGCCGTTTTGCAATGGCTTGTCCATCTAAAGAATTAACACGACATGAGTCAAAATGATACCCTAGAAAGCCTAGGTTATAATCATTTCAATACGATGTGTTGGTTAGCTGTAATCGGGCTTTTATCGACGACTGTTAGCACTGGAACATATCAATGCAATACCTGCATATTTCTTCATCAGTTGTAAGAGAAACCACCTTTCTGAGCACTTGACATGCATGGATAATAGCAAGTCTTCTCGACGCTTGTCTTGCAAATCGCGGAGGTATGCAATATACATGCTACTGTCAGGAGACCATCGGGGTTGGCCGCCCTCAAGGTTCTTTAGCTGTTGATCCAACCTATTACCAGCGTAAAGGAAAACAGTGGAGAAACCCAAAATTTGGTTGAAATTATTGGTTTGGATTTGCATTGCTTTGAAGTGCGATTGGCAATCAAAACTTGCCCTGAGAACCCAGTAAAATACCAATAACGACTTCCACGTTTAATGACATGGAATTTTCCATAATTCTGATTGCCCGACTGCCTGATTGTCTGTTTACTTGTATGATAAGCTATTTCTAGATTTTGTGGCTGGTAATGAGTTCTTTGCTTTGTTTTGGCGGACCTCATTTGAAAATCGTTTTAATATCCTTACGTAAAGATCATTTAGTTCCCAGATTAGGGGAATAAATTGCAGGATCCAAAATATGGTTTCATACCTGTCAAGCTGATCGGTCAGTACTTTCCAAGTTTCAGATGCCGGGGAACATTTTTGCAGGTTTGTTCTGTTAATGAACAGTTTGAAAATTCAGAAGACAAGCATCAGAGAAAGTCAGGAGAAATGACAGAAAGTGATGGACCAAAAGTGACACATTTCCTGTAAAATTTGGGGTAAACATTGTATGAAAACCAGATCCCCATGCTACTTCATACCTTACACAGAAAAACTGCCTCAACTTGTCCGGGTAATCATCTGGTGATGAACCTTCAAGTAGGAAACGTAAAATCATAAACGAACTTGTAACTGTTTAAGTAACTTGCGTGTACCTATCTGAACTTCAGTTGTGGTACTCTAATTTCCTCTTAAGCACTTCAAAACATTTATCACTCTGTAATCAAAAGGGGGGGCAAAGTACAATGGAAATCATTCATTTGTCATGATTATTATTGGTCGTTAAAGGTGAACCATTCCAAATAAGTTCCCCTCAATGAATAGGCGAAATTTGTACGTACTGGGTCTTCCTGTACTGGCCGCTTTGTTAGCCGTAGATTTCTCCATAATGCTCCACTCTGAGACGCTGGATACGTCCACCTTAATACCTTGGTAATAGTAAAATGGGGCTGTATCATCATCTAGACATACCTATGTATCTAACAAAGTTACATTCATCGAAGTTTCATTTTCTAGTATTCCGCAATACCCAAATGCCAATTCGCTAATGAAAGGAAAAGAATATACAATTGATTGTATCAAAATAGTGCACCACTTAAGCTGAAGTTATTTGAATGAAGTTGGTCCATGGAGTATGAAAACATACCATGTGGTTTCTTTACAAAAGTTCTTAAGGAACGTTAACCGTACATGTATTTACGACATAAAGCTCACAACAGGACGCACATGCAATGAAGTCTAATTCTTTTTAACACGTAAAGGAACAATGTAATTAGTTGAAGGGAAAAATAAAGAAAGTAACGAAATCAAATCCCTACCTGTCTCATTCAACTTCTCAAGAAGCAAATTGAGTTGCTCTTCAGTTTCTTTCTCCGTTTCCACTGCTTTCTTTAAATGGTCACGAAGTCGTTCTCCTAAATTTTTGGGAATAACGAAACATGGTGAAAAACAGCAAGATAACGATTGAGTTTACGAAAACATATCACAAATCGTTTATAATATGATATACTATGGTGATAACTGTATTTGTAAAACGTGAAGATTAACAGCTAAATTACCAAGGTTCGAAATTGACTTTTTAGCGTAATGCATCAAGAAGTCAGTTAATGTATCAACTCGGTGGGCTGGAGTCATTTCCTTCGTTATTTTTGCTGTTGGCCTCAAGTAAGACCACAGTCTCTCCATCACCTCGCCATCACTCATCCCGAACCCTTCCAGCCGTCTTCCACTGTAGTTGACCTGGCGTTACAAAAGACCAAACAAAGCTTCATGAAAACAATAACTGTTTTAGAGTAAGCATGCATGTGTTTTTCAATACCTTTCAACTCCTCAAAAGTGTTCAAAAGGAAAATATTTCAAAATACCTGACAAGAAACTTTGTGTCCATAGCAGTGAAATGTAGGTATCGCAAGAGTAACATTTTCAAGCAATGTTTCCTGGTGCGTATTCTACAGAGAAGATAAATTAAAAACAACAGGGCATCATTTAACAAGCAAAAATGCCAGAGTACCATGACCACAACTTAATTCAAATAAAACCGCTAAAAAAATCTTACTCTCAAATGTGTATCCAGCACACATGCAATATCATAGAAGAAGCGAATGTTGATAGCTTAATCTTGCACATGATTTTTAATCCATTTTAGCAAATACACAGCATTTCCAATCCTGTTTAATAAAAATATAATCATTATTAGCCACAATGTCCATGCAGTAATTTATTTGTTCCCTAGTTTCATTGAGTACCCTAATAGAAATGGTGTATAAAACAGAGTTATGCTATACAGCAGTACGACTATCATATACAAATTCTTTCCTTAGGAACCTAAAAGTGACATGTCTCTTAATTTATGCATCCTACAAGGCACTCTGGTTACATATTTCTTAACAATAGCTGACCAATAAGTACAGATTTCCTTTTGCATGTACATACTCTTCTCCTCTCTTTAAGCTGAAAAACTTCAGTGGCACTTCGTGCTTGCAGCCTCCACCAAAGAGGGCTGTCTCATCGAGCTTTGTGGATTTGTTTTTGGAACGGAGATTGGAACCAGCTTGAAACTGATTACACTGCTCCTACAACAGAAAACATTTAACTCTTAATCTTCAACTTCCTTTCTACCTTTTCTTGAGATGTCATTTAAAGCAGAAGTATCAAAGATAAAAACAGAACAGGAATTAAGATCTATGTAGCATTCATGTACGTGTAGCATTCAAAGTAGATATGGGTTGTTGGAGGTGAACCCTCACATTAGAAATTAAACATTACATTATGGGAAAGGTGGCAAGGAAAATATTGGCAGAAAATAATAATCATTCATCAATTTCTCATAAAAATTTAAAAAATGGGACAACCAAATAAATTTACTGCTTGATAACAACCCCTCCTCTTTCATTCAGGCTACCAGCAAGAGTGACAGTAGACACCCTTGGCAGAGTTAGTTGTGTAAGCAAATACAAAGATATTACCTTTAAAGACCATAAATCAATTACAAAAAAAGAGGGAAAAAAACTGTATTTGAAAAAAAAAAAAAATAAAAAATAGAAAAAGATCAAGGAAAAGAGGGGGCTGCAATAAAGATTATGTACTTGTTCTTGAAGCTGACAATTCACACAGTTCTTGTAAATTAAGTTTACAGAACAAACTAACAATATATTTGAGCTACATGTATTTTGGGCAGAATGTTACCAAAGTAATTAACCCTTCAAACTGTACCATATTTAAATTATTCAACACTAACATCATTATTACAAGTAACGAACATAATTGTTACTTTTGGTCTCTCATTGCAATGGTTGAGTAGTGGTATGAGTACTGATGGGTAACAAAAGGTTAGAGCAACGCAACAAAATACAAAGTAAGAGAAAAAGTCCTTTGGTTCACACACCATTGACTTACTGCTTGGTCTTTTGCTGTAATTAGCTAGAAATGTATCTACTTTTTCTTGGCTAATGAACAGTTCCTCTCCATGATTTGAGGACTTTCCACTAGTTCCAGCACTGCATTTGCGGACACATCCAAACAATGCATCAACAGAGATAAATAAACTTCCCTTCTCCTACAATCAGATGCCAAAATCTTATTAGAAATGTCATGTTAAAAATATTTCTTATGCCTAAATGAATGAAAAACAATGGAATAACTCATGCTAAGACCAGCTGCCACACTATGAGGACCACTAGGAAAAAGAGAGAATCATAAAGATTCAAAACAATGTTTCTTGTCTAAATTATATCATTCATTATGCCAACACATATAGTGATAGTCATTTGAGATTTCTAAAGGTAAATATTACCCACTTAGACATTTCATCTGAAGGATGACTTATCACAAACCTTAGGACATGCAGGACATTCATGATCATTCTCATAAGAAGGATTGAAATGCTTCAGGTTACTCAACATGCTAGACATATACCGGAACTCGCAGAAACAATCTCCAACAAGGAGCCGGTAGATGTCCTTAATCTAAAGGAAAACAAATAATTTATTTATTGTATAAATTAAGAAAATAAAAAGGAATTCATAAGCATAAGATAAAAAATTACTGAATGAATACTTACGTAAACCTTTGAAGCAGGTGGGACCAGCCACTGCAGTGCCTGACATATTGACCTTAAAGACACTCTACATTCTAAGAAAATGTATTGGAGCAAGGCCATAAATTCAAGGTCAAAGGCTACCTGGGGCTGTTTTGGAGTAAATGGCCAGAAACCATTCCTGACCAGCGTTATGGCTTCTGGTTCATGCTCGCAACATTTGATTTTGATGGGATTCTGCTGCCCTGTATAAAGACAAACACCATAGAGTGTCCATAGTCGTATTCTTCTATAATAATTGTTTATTAATTCCTGTCTGTGTTGAAAAAAACAATTAAAACACAAACAAAGACCTTCCTGGAAGAGGTAACCTAACTATTTAAATATAAGTATAAGTAAAAAGTAGTACTAATAATTGCAGACTGGCAACCTATCTCACAATATAGTTACATATTGCACAGCTGCTAGTTACTTACCATGCAAACCGACAGCTATAATGTCACGCACATATCCATGATCCATGTTGTGAGGTGTGGTCCATACACACTCACCAAACTGATATGGCACAAATCTTCCATCCTAAGAGCATAAAATATCCTACATGAATCAGGTGAATACAAATCACACACCATTTAAATCAGCCAACTCTTTCAAAATTGCCAAAAATAAACTTTACTTTGTTCTGAGTATAGAGCAAATTACATGTATGCTTGCAAGAAAAAATTATCCTTACTGCTTTCGCTTTTTCCTCTGTATAAAAATGGGTCAGGTCTCATTGACATAATGCACATTGAAGTTGAGAAAAAACTACATCAAGTGAAGTAATTGAATAGAGGTGATATATGGAGTTGTAAGAAAAAAAAGATGGATATCTCTGCAATTAAACCACAAGACAACGTACTTACAAATGAAATTGCCTAACGGCCAGAGTACACAAGAAATCGGGTTTCACAACATAATTGAAAAGGTGACTGGAGGAGATTGTCCTCCATAAATCTTCAACTCACTTTCCAAACTTCCGGGTGGTGAAGTGATCTACCGCCTGCGTGAACTAAATTGATGTGATCTGCGCATAGGAATTGCCCTGGACTGCAGTGAAGGCATCTGCCGCACGCCTCTTCTTCGCAAAAAGGAATGACACACATCTGCCCCAAAGGCAAAGCCTGTCTGGTCAACAGCGCTGAGACGAGCTGCTCTCTCGCATTGAGCCAAGACAAAGCCAGCGTGGCTTTCCTCTCATGGTAAGCTTTTAACTTGCGCTTCAGTCGCACTTTTTTACTTTTAGATCTTTGGTTGGTTCTCAAACCATGATATTCGTCAATATGGGGAAGGTCTTCTTGGTCTGGAGAAAAACCGCCGCACGTGTTTAGAGAAGATCCGGCGACTACAGACGTTGTATCAGTTAATTGCTGGGCGGCATATCGAACTGGAACACTAAACTTCGACTTTCTTATAGCTTTTCCTCCTTTAAAAGTAACTACATTCAAACTTTTTTTCGACCTAAAATCGCGTTTAGGAGGCATAATGGTATCCAAAGCTTTTCCAAAGCCGCGTTTCAAGGGTTCGCAGGCTATGGCACCAGGCCTTGAGTCCTTTCAGGTCTCGATAGGTAAATAGGCCCTACTTTGACGGCTTGTATGCGTTAATTTGATACTAATTAAATCCGCATGTAAGCGGTTAATTATGAGCGAATCGGGTAAATAAAGATGGCATGTAAGCGGTTAATTATGAGCGAATCGGGTACTTAAAGATGGCGGATAAGGCCAAACGAAGATTTACCTGAAATAATGAGCTTAATGGGAAAAGATTACAGAAGAATCTCGGGCTTAGCGAAGCCTCTTGTGGAATGCAAAACAGAGGTGAGAGTTTACTAGGCACATTGTGTTCACTACGCCTAAGTCGTACGAGTAGTTAACGCAAGTAAGTACGTTTTAACAAAGTCAAGTTCAAGATTGCACAAGACTTGGCTATGAAATGCCGGTACATGTAGCTGCAAGGGGTTGTGGCTACCGACTTTTCCGGTTTATACGCAGATTTCTTTTTCTTAGCATTGCTCGTATCAATTTAAACCGTGACGAATTACCTAATAGGAAAGTTATTTGAAACCTAGAAAAAAAAATGACATCGAAGGCACGTGAGGTTTGGTTAATTGTTTATTTTTAATTGAGCTTACATAATGCTAAGGATTTACGTATATTTTTCTCCTCGGCAAAATAGCGATTACATGTAGTTGCTGCTTTAAATGAATTCTTCAGGACAAATTTATCATCAGGTTCTTTTTTATTATTTCTTGTCTTGTTTTGCTTTGTTTTGTTTCGATTTACCCGCCAGCATAATGCAACTTGTGATTAAATCAATCAAGTGCAGAATAGATTCTTTGTTTTCCCACTAAAATGAAACAAACAAAAGTTTAGTGAAAGTCGTATTTTTTTATGACAGCTCAGCAAATGATCACAGTGTGATAAATGTGTGATAAAAGTGTCCCTAAAGATCAGCCACATGTCAGCTGTTAAAGCACAAAGGGAAGATTTGTTTGTTGCTGCACTTTGGGATCACAGAGAGTAACTTAACTGTTCAATAAGTGTCTTCTTCTGAATTTCAAATTTGGCAAAGGTTACAATTTTGCTCCCTAATGTGACTTACTCAAAGAATAAAAAAGGAAACTATAAGAAATAAATTAAAAGCACTGTTGCTGCAAAAAATCACGTTTGACATAATTTATTTAAAATTTATAGATTTTTTCTATCCATTTCATTTTCATTAAGCCTTCATCAATTTTCTAATAAGCTGAGAGGTTTATATTATGAATTATATTCAGCTACCCTCTATTTATACCAAATGGAGGCTGTTATGTTTATTATCCCTCAATATTTTTCAACATGCGGGAAAATTGTTTATGAACAGCTTACTGTTGATGGTGTGGGAGGTTTACTTTTCAGTGTCCTCTGAAATGATTTTATGAACAAAAGATACATGTTCCTTCTTCTATAACAACCACACAATTAATGCTTTTCACCTTTAATTAACCTTTTAACTCCATAAGTGACCAAGACAGAATTTCTCCTAAGAATATTAATACATTATCAAGCAGACAAGTGATGAGAGTAAAGAAGAATATTAATTAGGGGATTATTAGTTGATCCAAAAACAAATTCTCCAAACTAACATCACAAGAACTGTATGGGAGAGAGTACAGAGAATTACTAATGAGATCTTGGGAGTTTTAAACACAGAGTTTTCCATATTGGACATAAGGTTGGAAAATTAGGGAATATCACTTCAGGTACAGTGTTGGATATCCACCAGTTTTCTGTCATGTAATGGGTTTAGACCGGTTGCCTTAACTAGCAAATAAATTTGTTGGATTATAATGGAATTTATTGATCATGAGTAATTTATTGTAAAAGTGAGGTTGCTGATGTATTTTTAGTATAATGTGTGATGTTGTGATTAAAATATGAAAAAAAAGGGGAAAAAAACAGAGATAAACAAAGACAGAAACCAACTTAGGCCACTGCAAAATACAAGAAACCAAATTGCTGTTTTTGCCTCTGATTGGTTGATTAGATAGTGCTAATATTTTAGCCAATCACAGACCAGTCATGGAAAAGCTTAGTTCCAATTTTAGATTGTTTTAGGCCAATTAAATTTATAGATAGCACTGTGTATGATGAATAAAAAGATCATTACGGTGTTCAAATCTGTTCCAAATTGTCTCCTCTTAGCCAACCATCTGAAATCTTGACCCTTTTACTTTCAAGATCCAAGAGTTGACTCACTCAATTGAAAACCTTACACAGTTTGTTTTAAGTATTGAGAATATGCCTGAGATTGTGTTAATGCTCAACCAAAAGGTTCTTGTCAGATATCTTATTTTCTTAATGATTATATTTTTATTCATTTTTTCAGGCCCTTCTTTATGGAAGCTGTGTGTCCCAGAACGACAACATAACCAAGCATGCCTGTGATAAGGAGTTTCAAGCACTTAAAGCCTGCATAAGACAAGCAGTAAGTTTTCTGGGAGACTGGTCAGGGTCTCTTTTCTTTCTGTGTTTAATTAGCTTGGATATCATGTTAGATTTTAAACCACAAACTTCAGTTATCATGACAAGATAGTCATTTGAAGATGGGCACAAAAGTGTCCTTTCAGGGAATGGTGTGATGAAAATAGAAAGGTTTGGCTTTTTTGTGCAGCACTTTCTTTGTTAGAAATGTCCATAGTTTCTTTCAGCTAGTAATTTGTTAAACACAAGGAGTTAATGACTGGCTTCAAGGGATAAAGTGAGTTTTCTTTTCCCAAGGCTCTCAAATGTTCCTTGAACTGGAGCCAAAGGCAACAATTAGGGTCAAATGAAAAATGGCTTTGGGTTGGGAGGTATAACATTGCAATTTTAAACAATTGCAAAAGTATTTGGAGTACTTACATACTTAAACATGTACTCTCAAACTAACTCTTACACTCTCAAATGAGTCAGCTTTAATCAGAATTAATCAGGTTCATCCTTTCATCAGTGGGAACTGTCCTACAGTGAGAGAGGGATGGGGTTTAACTTTTCATTGTCAAATTGTTGGTGTCATTTTTCGTTAATTTCGCTCTGATTTTAATTAACAGTCATCAACAAAAATTAGGGACTCAAGATAAATAAGAGACTACAGCAAGTCACTTAGACATAGGAATGCTGTGCTTTTTCTACTTAAATTTAAATACTTCTTACCTATAATAATGTAATAATAATCATAAGATACTGAAACAAAATGTTTCATTCCTGATTAGTCTATTGTGAATGAATTGAAAATAAGTTATTGAGTGCAATACACTGACTTGAAATTAAAACTTTTAAAGATAACTTAACAACACTAAACTCTTTAGTAGTTTAAAGAAAACATTTAAATTTGATGTGTCCATCACTGTCTACATTTTAATGAATGATCAAATCAAACAATATAATTATCTTAAGGCATTTTCCAACAGGTTGAAAATGTTTTTTTAGAAATGTGCACCAGGAAATTGGACAAAGAGTAGTATTTGTATGAGGTTTTGTTTAGAACATATCATGCATAAAAGCATATCAAACAGCTCTGACATTTCATATTTTATGGTGACTCATTATATGTTTTGAAAGTTTTTCAAACAGCACTCCAATGGCTGGTTCATTTAACAAAACTTTCTAAACATCACTGATGCCTTTGAATTAAGAGATGTACTTGACCTCATGTAACTGTTATGCTGTCACATACATTTCCCATCTGCTCCCCTGTGCTCACATGTGTCAATTCCTGCAAGAACACACTGTTAGCCAAGGAAATCATAGAAGCACAATGATATTTTTTAATCCTTAATCTATACACATGCATTCCCTATTGTCTGTTTTTAACCCTTTACACTCTAACATCAATATATATGCATATTCTCCATACTTTTCTCTGTGTTCTGACAAGGAGAATTTGCTCAACAGTCAAAAGCTTTTTTTTTTTGACAAGGAGAATTTGCTCAACAATCAAGGTATTTTTTGTCAGTGGTTTAATTTAATGGATGACATTTGCAAGGCAAAACTAGTTTGTAGTCACTATCTGGGGTTTTAGGATTAGACAAAGGTAATAATCAAATTATAGAAAAACTGGTGTGCCTGGCCTTTTTGTTTACCTTATGAGAAGATGTTAGTAAAATAGGGATTCTTATCATTCAATATTTTATATTTTTATCTCTCTTAAGTTTTCTCATTGTTTGATGATGCATTTTTGTTGCAGGCAAAGAAAATTAAAGTGTAGAGACTTGAAAAGAGAGAACAACTGCACCTATTGCAGGAAAGTTCTGAAACAGGACGTCACAGGCAACCTACTCACTTTTTGCGTGGGGTAACAATATTATAAGAGGAGACATTTAGGCTTGTGAAAACTGATAAAAAGAATGTCTCTGTCGGTAAATATATAAATACGGTAAACTGCTGCTTATAAGTGCCCTCTCCTCCCCCCTCCCCCCCTCCCCCTTTCATTTATTAGCCCTCGGTTAAAGGCTCATCTAACTTTAAACAAAATAAAAAAAAAGCATCAAATTATAAGCTCCCCCCGATATAAGCCCTGTTCTAGCTTTTCTTGTTTCTACAATACCAAAGTAGGAGAAGCCTCAGTGCTGTGACTTGGACATAGAAATTTTAATGATAGAAGAGCAAAGATGAACTTTTGAGAGAAAAGTCTGTTTTCTCAGTTTTGCTACGTACCAGTTTTCTTCATGTTGCCAGTTTTTATTGTGCCAAATGTATTGAAACTAATTTGATTTATTATGACGTTTTGAATCTTAATGAAAAACGAGTAAATAAAAAACGTATTTTGATCAGCATTGCACTAGCCTTTTCTATTCCGGTTACACGTCCCCACGGCTATAGGTCCCTCTGTTAATAAGCCCTCCTAAAACCCTTACGAAGTTGTATAACCCCTGAGCTTATAATCGGCAGGTTTGTTTGTGTTGTGGAACTTTAAGGATTTGCCTCAGAAGGAATGGTGCTATTCTTAACTCAAAATTTTGATTCCGTTTTGATTGACGTATAAAATCGAATAGAGACGTCGGCGAGTTGGTCTTCAATCCAGTACAACTTATTAGAAGTTGAACATATAGAAAAGTGAATATCTTTAGTAAAAAAACAATTTTGTTTTTTTTTTGTATAAGGATTTCATGGCGAATAAAGCAAGGTAAACATCGCCAATTACTATAGAAGCTTCAGTCGCGAACGAGTTAAATTCTCAACGTTTCCTCTGGTAACTTAACATCGGGTCACACAATGCGTGACGGTATCATGAATCAATCGCTTGCTTTTGCTCATGACGTAAGCTCGGGACGCCTGTGCGTAAAGATATTTACATAATTGCTGAGGCGCATTCCGCCAGCATGGGTTAACTGTGCCTACATTGCTTATTTCTTCTTCTTCTTCTTCTTCTTCTTCTTCTTCTTCTTCTTCTTCCGAGTCAGTTCTCAGGTCGCCGTTAAAATTAATATTCATGTCTAATCCATATCGGGGTATTTTTTAAAATAATTGCAAGTGTCAGGTTCCTTTGAAGCCTACAAACAAAATGAGTTGCTTTCAAATTCGTGTTGTGGAGTTTCCTGACTGCATAGCAAAAATTCAAATAGCCTCCCTTTGTTAAAAATGGTTGTTCGGTTGGCTGATGAAGCTTATTTTACTCGTGTGACAGGCATGACACGTCGGCGAAGGATAAATTAACGCGCGCAAAATAATGCAAAGGTTTGATAGCGGAAATTTGTTTCCTCTTTTTTTTTTTAATTGGTTTAGCTGGCCAAGAATAAAGACAACGACTTTTTCAGTATTAATTTCCTAAAGAACAACATAGGTTACGTTTTTCAGCTAATTGTTGTACGCGTGACTTAAACGCATCACGCGATTAAAATTATTGTCTTAGCTCTGAATTTATTTACAACAACGCTTAACAGCAGCTGTAAAAACCTTTACTTTTCTGTGTATTTATTCTCTGCTGCTTAAGTGGATAAATGTCATCTGGCTCTTTAAGTGTAAAGGGACAATCAATATTCAGGTACTTAATGTAATAGCCTTAACCCTTAGTAGTCAATTATTTTATCCTTGCAGCAAAATTGTTAATTTAAAGACGGTGAGCAATTTTTTCGGTGTATCGCAAAATAACTTCATTCGCGGTACATATGTCGATTCTGTTGATGAATACGTGTTTGCTTTGCGCTCTAATGGAATATTTATTCTTCACTATTTATCTCTGGAACGTATAGTCTGTTATTCGATCCATCTAGTTTCTTTAGGTTGTGTGATATCACCGAAAAATGAACTGTACAATGAACTTTCTTAGTGCTGTCAAATCAAAGAAAACAGCGCTTCGGTAAAACTGATCAAAATTAATTTTCTCTCTATAAACATTACTACAATGTCGTGTAAACTGCTGACGAGAATCAAAAACAATCAACTTGTTAAAATGTCCAAATGCTTAGTGGTAAGATCTTCGGATTTCGGATGGAAAAATCTGCATGGGAGCGTCCACTTTGAATTGTTGTTTTACATTTAATATACAACAACAACAAAAAAGAGGAAAAATTGGCGATTAGTTCGTAAAACCAAAAATTTGAAAGTCAAATGAAAACTAAGTTGGAGGCAAGAAGCAGTCAGCTTGTGGATGATGCGGGTTCTAAAAATTACTAATATTCCATTTTTTTTTTCTCGTCGACATGAGCCTTTCTTTCCTCAGCATCAATGAAAAAATAGAAAAAAAGAAAAACATTCTTTGTCCACATGCTCTTTAGGAAGACGTAATAACTACTAGAGTTTCAATAACTTTTAGTATATAAATAACTTCTCTAGTCTATAACTGTTTACTTCCAAACAATAAATTCTTAATTCTCTAAACCATACCGGAGCTTTCTCAGGAAAGAGGGTAGTGGGAAAAACGCGATTCATCAAATCCCTTGTTCCTTTTTCAACGAGTGATGATAAGAATGCTCGTCCTCTGGCTAGGTATTAAAAATAGGTCCGCAATGCGTACATGTGTGGCTCACGAAATTTAGCTGCTTTTTGTCTCATTGGGTTTCTATTAGAAGAGCTAATATCTGATTACCATTAGATAGTTTTCAATATTAATCCTGTTCATTAATAACACAAGATAACTAGCATACAAAAGTCCCGAAATGTTCATTCTGAAGATGAGTTACTGGCCAAACTTTGGTTTGGAGGTCTCATTTTGACAACAAATGTTGCACATGTAACCCGAGGATTTTAGGAACTGAAAAAACATCAGCATAATCTTCCATAGTGATCTGAGAGATTCAGTCACGATTATGTTTACGTAACGAAGTGGAATTGACTTCTGAAGTTTGTTGGTTGCTTGTCTTTTCCAAGGCAAGTGATGTGAAATAAACTCTAGGGAAGAATTTCATATGAATATTTTTGACATTTTGTGTACCAGTACACAAGGAAAAAACTTTGTAGAAGGGCAGGGACATTCGGGAAATGATGTAATCTAAACTAGAAGCTATTGGGAGCTTGTTTGGTTTGAATGTGTGACTAATTTTGGACAATATATACATGTAAAGTAACACAATGCTGAGTGTAGGTTTCTTTTGTCCATTAGGGTATAAAGTTCAACTTTCGGTTGGTTGAGAGCAAAACGTTTACTATAATGATTGTATTTAGGTTCTGTGGGACTGTATTTTCAATAAAGAATACAGAAAAATTTAGTTGAGGTAGGTAGATATGAGGTTGCAAATGGAAGAGTCTAGGGAAAAAAGATAGGTGCATCACAAGATCAGAACATAAGCAATATTTTGATGTATCATATGTTGAGTTAAGTACTCTGAAGTAACATTACATTAACGTTGCTAATAATTTTTAACCCAATACCTGGAGGTTTTATTTAACAGAAAGTTCAATAGAGATATTGTCACCATAATAGATTTCAGGAACAGTAATCAGAGACATAACTTAAACACAGCAGAGCAATGTACAGGCAAGTGCATGATGGTATCATATGATTTAAACTACCAGAAGCTTTCAAGTTTTCTTATTATTGAAATTGTAATTTCATGCCAGTGAGTCTACCAAATTCAAGTTATGGGGGAAAATGAATAGGTGAACTTGACATCATCATGCAAATGGTGAACTTCACATCATCATGCAAAGTGCTAATCTACCGTACAAAAAGGTCCATAACAAACATGGTAAGCAACTGAACTTCATGTATCACTTTGTGTTAGAGCACACAAGAGGACGTGTGAGACCTGCTTCACTTTCATTTGTTAGAACAAGATTGAATTTCTGGTACCAATCAAAATTCAGAATGACTGTGACAGTTTGGAACTTATCTATTAAGACTGTGCTTTTAAGGGGTCTACAGATGTGATAAGAACCCTAGGTCTCCGAGGATACCTGATGGCTAACTTTTAGCTATAAACGTAACAAATGTCAGTTCCATCGAACTGTCTTCATAAAAACTCAACAAAGTCTAAGCTACATGTAAGTTAATTAAAGTGTACTTTGGTATTCCAAATAAGCAGATTGTGAAGTAAATTTTTTACAAACAACAAATGTTGAGCTCATAGCATGTGTGCAGTTTAAAGTATTTGAAAAATTTAAAAGTGCTTATCATATGAGAAATCATGTTATTAATTATTCATAATGTATACGTGAAAGATACACATTCACAGGAAATCAACAAACTGATGGCAGATAAATTTGACAGTATTGACTAAATGAAGTGTGTGCCATCAAAATTTGTCCTTCAGCTGAATTCTTGCTCAGGAACGCAATTTTGTTAGTTTTTATCAATATACATAAAAGTATCCAAGCTTTTGTTTATTTTTGTCAGCTACAGCATGTATCAATCAGAACAACCTACTTTGGGTAAATCTGATTGGTTTCTCATGTGATCTATTATTGCTGAGCCTAGTTTATATTATTTTGTACATGAGTTATTACTTTTTCACTGATGATAAATGAAAAAGGCACCTAGCTATTTTCAGCTAATCAAAAAAGTGTAATTTTTCATGTATATCAGTATTGTGATGAATTCACCAAACCAAACAAAAAACTGAAAAGGAGGTGTAGTCTACCAAATAAAGGCCTAATACACATGTATTGCTACCAAGTAGCATCAGTCAAAAAGGCATTAGAAAAGGAAAGGATTATTTTTTAATCTCGGTCCCTAATGACTCGTTTGATCGACCAGAGAATTAGCAATTCGTATTTTTAATGTAAATATTTAAAGATGAAGTGTCAGTTCTAAACACGGACAACTTTTAGAATTTAGGAGAAATAAATGTCAGTCAGTTTATAAAAGAGAAAACAAGTGCAAACATATGTTTTAGCAGTCTAGAACATTCTAGAACATTCTAAATAATTACATCATATCCTATTCTTAAAACAGTGCAACATGACAAAACATGATAAAAATACGCTGTTAAATAATCCGAATAATTTTTTCTCTGTTTTACATTTTTTTCTCTTGTAAATAACACACTAAAATGTTGGAAAAAAATTATCAATGTGCAAGATGCATGAACGAACTGAAATTTTTCGTGAGTTAAACCTACCTTGAAGTTTGATGTAAAGTTGAATATCTTGTTTATGATTTTAGAATAAACCAAAATCTTTATCACAATGTTCAAATGTCCTACGAAGTATGAACGCTAGTTATCAGACAAGAAGACAGGGTTACTTTTACAAGGTCTCAACATATATTGTTATTGTTATTTTTAGAGTGTGTAACTTTTAGCTGTGTATGACTGAACAGTGGACAAAGAGTCCATTGGTTACTGAGTGGCTTTATTTATTAGCTTTGACGTAATTTTCTTCGCTTGAGTCATAAGGCAACTAAAACAATCTTCTTTTTATTATTCTAAATTACAAAGGGGAATGTTCTGATACGAAAAGGAGTTTTTCCTTTGAACTGCATAATCCAAGTGATAAAGAGCACTGTAGATAAACAATAGCAAACCAATATCTTAATTATCAACAAGGTTAAACAATGACTTTCTTTTTAAATTTAACTTTCCAGAAAGCGCTATGAAAATCTTTGAAGTTTTTTTGGTTTCACGCAGAGGGATTCCGTTTGTTCTATAGCCGATGGAGACAAATTCATTACAATCTCAAGAGTGTTACTCCAGAAGCTTGTGTATAAAACATCGAGCTGCTTTGAAAATATTCAATTTATTAACCTCTTTTAATGAAAAATTGAAAGAGACAAAATTAAACACTCTACCTTTTCTTCTGCAGAGAACAAACTGAAACACGTCATGATGGTACCCTCAGTGGCTAAGTGTAGTTTCATCCTCCTTTTCGGTAAGCACTTCAGCTGTTCACAACTGTTGTCGAAAGTGTTTGCTTTAATGATAAACATTTGCAGTTGTTGGCAAATGGGATGGAACGGTAGCCCGTGGGTAGTGTGGGACGGGAGGAAGGGTAAGATGCTTAGGGAGGCCCAGAGGAGAGGAAGGAAAGAGAGTGCAAGGTTAAATGGATGGATAGAGCAATGAGAAAAACTGCGAAGTGGGAGTGAGAGTCTTTTGGCAATTGTTATGTCAAGTTTTGTTGAACTGCAGTATGCGCCAGTGTTTAACTGTAATATAACAATCACGAAGAGCCACAACTTCTAATATCTGCGTGTAATATCAAACTGCTAAGCATGCAACATTTGGTGCATGCTTGTTCAGTGGTTAGAGGAAGTGGTCCAAAACGTTTACATGGTCCAACTTTGAGCTTAAGACTGAACCTGTCAAATATACTGCCACTGTATTAACTTCGTACAACCAAATTCAAAGTAAAGTCCTAGAATAAGATGGCGTCAATAACTTATTCCTCTAATTTATTAATAAACCATTTTCCTTTATCCTCTGAAACACTTTTCTCACTTAAAATAACCGCAAATGTAAAGCGTTAGTAAGTTCTTGGTTGGAATGGAAGACTCAGTTTTATAATAGCTTTCTGAAGTCCGTTGAACTCGAGCTCTAAATGAAATTTTGTTTTACTCGTGCGATAAATGCTTTAAAGCTTAGTAATCTGATATTTACTTAGTAAACTAGAGATGCTTGTAAGACAGAGATGAGTTGAGGTCTAAAATGGCGGCCTTCGTTGTGTAAAACTGCATACTTTTTCTTTCTCTTGGTATATGATATCTGTAAATTTTTTTTGAAGCCATGTAATTGACTTGTTGTATTTGTTGTAGTTTTGTTGAAATATCCTCAACAAGCGAAAGGATGGAAGAAAGTTCCTTATTTTAGGAACAGACATGTTCTCTCAGCTCCAAAAGGACACTACGTGGAATTAAACTTTACCATGCGCAGCTACTCGTGGGCTCCACGACCATGTCTGCAGGACTACTATCTTGAGATCCGTGACGGCAATAAGCAGTCAGCCAACGTTCTTGGTGTATTTTGTGGAGATCACAAGACTGCTGTAGTGCGATCCAGTGGACGATCCTTGTGGTTAAGATTTTTCCCTTATCGCAGATATTATTTGAATGGATACTATATGGGCAGATCCTTTAATCAAACAGGTATGGTATTTCTTGATAAGTTAAGCACTCTTAAGGCACTTGGTTAAAATCTTTAAATTCAACTGAACATCACGATGGAATGAACTCTATTCAGAAAATGTAACGTTTGCAAACATTACTTTTACGTTTCCTTGCACATGTAGCAGTGTTTATCCCTTCCCTTTCACAGACGAACAGCCACAAATAGAGACAGAGAGAAACAGTCAGTGAAACAGACCGACAGAAGTTCTTCGTGACTAACAAACAAAAATAGATTGTCCATACAAATTATGTCTGCTGTTTGCTTGTTCTATATAATACAGACTATTCATCCAGCAGTTGCTTGCCTCAAAATATGAGTTTTTTATTATTATTACTAATTGCTTTATGTAGCGACACCCACCATGACCCATGTGCCCAGGACACAGACTGTAATTTTGAACAGAAGGTCCAGCTTGTGGTGCCCAGTGGAAGGTGCGCCAGCTCCATACATTGTATGGAGAAAAAATGGTGTTGTTGTTCAAAATAGTACCAGCGTAAGATATCAGCTTGTAGCTGCAGAAAAGAATGTGAATTACAGCTGTGAGGTACGAAGAGATAATACCGTGTCAAGGGGCGAAATCAGCCTCAACATTGAAGGTGAGTTTCATTCCTCACACAAGTGTAATGGTACCATATCACTTTTTTAATTGGATGCCTGAATCTGTACTATTTGATTAATTTCTTAGTGTCTTGTTTAATTTCTGAGTTTCTCTCCTCTACGGCTCGCTGCCCTCGATGTAGTCGCTCCCGTAATTTGCCCCGTTCTTCTAGACCGCGATAGATTATCAATATGTTAAACAGTTCTTCCTTCAGATTAAGCTTTCTTTGATCAGCTATGTCAGAATGAAAATCTTTGTTTGGAATGAGGCAAATGTGGCCGAGTGGTTACGGTGCAAAGCTTGTAATCCAGTGGTCTGGGTTCAAGCTATCCACCCTGCTACTCACCGGATTTGTTTTTTGGTTTGCCGCGCTTTGTAAACTGCCAAATGGTTCGCCTCCGACCAGTAAGGATTTTTGCACGATGTTTATTTACAATGTTTGTTTCAATTAATTTGTTGTGATTAGTTTTTGTAATTTTAGTTTCTAATTTGTTTTAATTAGTTGATTCTTGATTAATTCTGTCATACCGTTTGTGAGGAGCATTTTATTATATCCACTTCTTTAATTCACGCAATAGAAACATTCATCTTATCTCAAGTATGGAACGCGAGACCTATTTTTTTAAAGTTATTCTAATTATTTAGCGCTGTTCAGCCTCTCAGAAAGAACATCTCTCATTGCTACAGTTTGATCAGAATTTTTTTTTGTTTTACCTTAAATTTTGAATTCTCTAAATGCCAATATTGACAAGATTGTTATATCGAATAAGGAGGAAAGAAGAACCAAGTAGAAGCAAGGACATTTTCATAGTTACACGCCTATCTATTTTCCTATACGATTGATTCGGTATGGTTTTAAGAGTATGTTAGTAATTAGTTCAAAGTCGATACTCCATAGTTGCAAAATTTTGCAAATTTAAATTTAGCCTAAGTTTAGAAGTTCATCTCTTGCATTCCTTTGTAAACTATCATTCTAAAGCTGCTTTTTCTTTTTGCTCAATACCATAGAATAGGTTGGTTTTCCCTTTGCAATGCAAACTCAGTAATAACATATTACACTTTTTTTAGCGATTAAACTATTTGAACAATACTTTATGTCTAATATTCAGAGTGCCCAGGCCCTTGTGAGTGCCACTTTTTGAAGGGAACATACGGTCTGCTGCGTGTGAACTGTAGAGGAAAAGAATTGATGTCAATTCCATGGAAAATTCCCCTCACTACAGCAAAGTTGTGAGTATATATGAGAGATCAAATGTTGAGGTACCATATAAGTTGCACATTAAACTGCGGATCACGAAGCAAATGAAAGCCATTCTTCATCATAACTGAGTAAGAACGACTTCTTAATCAATCTTACACCAGCCAGTACGTGGTGCCGTCGATGTCAATGACCGAAAATTCTTCAATGTTTAATTTTTTGAACGAAGGTTTCCTACGGGGTTCATTCCTCACCCTAACTTCTATCTTCCGAGTCTCTCGAGCCATGTCCAAAGAAAATCTGTAAACTCAAAGCTGTAACCTTGTGGCTACACTAAAAAGTATCATAACTGTGGTATATCATACAATGCGGGTCCATGTTAGCAGGGTCACAAAACAAGAACAAAGCTAAACAAGAAGGCAGTACTTCGTGACTTCGTGAAGGCAACGTGGAATCGCGAAACGAACATATTTTGTAGAATGTGAACAATAACGGCGGAGTAGGCTTTTATGCTCGAAATACCTGGTACTTTATGCATAGGATGCCGTTAGAAACTGAAATATCAAGCAAATCATGAGAACTTCAAAAAACGTAGATATATACCTTTATTTCAATTGTTTTAGTAACATTCAGCACTATCTCTTGTGTTATATCACTTCTCAAATATGGCCGTGAAAGTCAAACATAACTGTGAAAAAGTAGGTCTGACGGTATTAATGCCATCTCATTGGCTGGAACAATAGAGCAATTTATCCATTTCCGGTGTACAACGGACGACTTTGAGTAAAACTGTTTGGTGCGTAAATCTGGAAGAGATTACTACTGAGTGTCACTTTTCGTGTATTGTTTTTTGTTATTATTAATATTGAAATATGTAACAAAGCCTTTGAGGCATTTTCAAGTTACTGCGTTCTGCACGTTCACCGTCAAGTTATTTCGAACAAGAAATGATTAAAGATTATTGGTTCATAATCTATGCAACCATACACGTATTTAGGTGGAAAAGTTGTCTATTTGATCACAGTTGAATCGTACTCCCATTTTTTCATTCTCATTAATTTGATAACTTGATCTAAGTAATACATAAAAAAATGGGCACTTGAAGTGGAAAATTTATGCGAAGGAGAAACAAAGGCTCTATAAAGAAATAAAAAAAACGGTTTATAACTTCTGGATAAAGGTATCTGTCATAAGTTTTGAAAACCGTATGTATTGGGCGCTTGAAGTGGAAAATTTGTGCGAAGGAGAAACAAAGGCTTTAGAAAGAAATAAAAACGGTTTATAACTTATGGATAAAGGTATCTGTCATGAGTTTTGAAAACCGTATGTATTTAACACAGTTGTATCAATTTTTTTTTTCTAACAGGGACTTGAGTAACAACCAGCTGAAGGACTTGTCACGGGACATTTTCAGCAACAATACTCACCTGACTTGGCTGTAAGCTAAGATTAAACAAATCTATATTGTGTGCATTTCAATTTAAAAGGGCAGTGATATCCCAACAGGGACTAGCAATGATATGTTGATAATAAATAACATTATTCGTCATTAGCCGCTTTGAAAACCATGCGTATTCAACACAGTAACAACTCTCACCTGAGGTAGCTGTAAGCTAAGATTTGTTACCTCGTTCCATTGATTAATCAATAGCTTCATAAATTCGCATTACAAACTGCGCCTATTTAACACATATGTAGCAACATCTTATTTAGGACTTGGGTTACAACCGACGAAGAGACTGGCCACAGAAAGTTTCCAGAAGCAATAACCAACTTTGATTGTTAACTAACCCCTTTTACTTAATCTACTGGGCGAGGTTGTTCAAAGCTGGGTTAAGATAACCCATGATTAGTTTGAAACTGATTTCAGATCTGAAAGCTTTAAAACAAAATTCAATCGAATTCTTTCGTCAAGAATGCGATGATTGGGTGCTCTAAAAGCGATATAGAAAATTATCCCAAAAGGCTTTTGAATGAAGGAATAAAGAAACTCGGATTAAAATGTAACCTTAGGTTAGCGCTAATGGGGCTTCAAACAACTGGGTCCTGATGAATAAAAGCATATTATATCAGCATTATAACCCATTCATGTTAAACATGGTTGGAAGAATTTCTTGATGTGTAGTTGAGTAAACAACCAGCTGCTTAGCTTTCTGTTAGACATACTTTCGGCTTAGTGAACTGGAGGCCGGGATGTAAGAAACTAAGAGATTGTAAAATCTTAAAAATAGTCACTTTTTCCAAAAAATGACGAATTTCTAAACACTTTAGTTGATTGATGTTGGTATTAACAACACAATGCGATTTCTGTTTTATCGATGTATTCCTTCCAAACTGGCTTAAAAACAGGAGTCTAACTACTAGAAGGCATCAAAATGGTTGCAGATGTCAAAGAAAAGCTAGATATATGGCGATAAAGCCGGGCTTGCTCTAAAGTATTAATTTCTATTTTTTTTCCTTTTATAATCTTTTAAGTATATTATATCATGCAACGATTTTATGTTGTGTGTGTTGCTATTTACTCCATGGAGGAATTTTAGTGTTCAGTTGTTTTCAATACTTCGAATAAAAAACCCTCAAAGTCATTTTGTTCTACAGTATAGCTCTTTTTCTTATCGCAGGCTTAAATGTAAGCACCGCTTTATTGACGCTAACAGTCTGTTTGCGAGCATTTTGTGTGTTGACTGACATTCCTTAATTGGTGTAACCTACTAAATACCGCCTTTAAATGATTTTTTGTCAGGCGGTTGGACAACAATCAGTTGAATGGATTACCATCAGACATTTTTAGCAAAAACACCTTGCTATGGAAATTGTAAGTTTATACCCTTCTTTATTTATTTAAAAGGAGCTTTGAATCCAAATCTACTGAACAGACAAATAATGCCTTATCTCCAAATGACCGATATGTCCTCTTTCCTCTAATGCTGATGCACAGTACCTTTGGACTCACCTCTCCCTTGTTTTGACCTCTACTCTATGTGCTACTTCTCGTCTCCCTAAATGTTAATTTTTCTTCATAAAATGACCAGCCCTAGAAATAAACCTTTTTAGCTGTGTGGTCACGTAGTTAGAAATGGGTAAACAAGGATTCGAAATGGGTGCTCAAGTGTGTACTGCAGACGACATTTTATAAACGAAATTCCTTCTTCCTTCACCGAAATTTTCATATTCACGGACAAATCAGCTCTCCATTCACTGCGATAATATACAAATGGGCGACTATTGAAATGGTGTCTTTTGAAAACAGTAATTGAGATTGATAAAACAAACTTACGAGCACGCGATCTTTAAAGCTTACTTGAAAAAACATATGAAGCCGGTACAAAAGGGAGGCAAATATTTTACAAAAAGGAGGTTCGGGGATTTTATGTCTTAAGCTTAGAATGAAACCATATTTTAACCATAACTGTAAAGTTAGTTTTGTTTGACGTAAATATATTCGTACACTTTGGTTACCCGATCGACAGCCGATCAAAGTTCCCAAACTACTGAATGACCGGTAGTTGGAAATTTCTGTAAAAATTCAACAAATTTAGAGAGCCTACACGATCCAAATTATCATATGTCGATGAGGAACCGCAAAGTGATCCCAAAGTGATTTATAAATGTCATGTCTAGCGTTCGGTGATCTTTAACGCTAGTCTCAGAGTACGGAGCCATGGGCGTTGACGCATAAAATTGAGGTCGACTGCCGGTCACGGCTCCCAAATAACTACATGACTTGCAGTTGGAAATTTATCGAAAATCATTCTTAAGAGAGCTAATTCATTCCGAACTATTATATGTTGATGAGAAGCTTCTGCGCTCTCTCTAAGCCATTTATAAATCTCATTTTTAGCGTTCGGTTCACACTGAGTCAGAATGCACGTACTTAGAAATTCCGTGATACTACGCGGGATGTTTTGTATTGCAAAAAAAGAAAAAAAAAAAGAAAAGAAAAGAAAATAGAAGAAAAGGAATAAAAATTACATCGAAACAGATTGGTAGGGGTACCAATTGTTCGAGTTCAAGTCTTTTCTCTTTAGAAATTCTTCATAGCAAACAACTATTCAGCGAAGTGGAGTTATCAAGTAAGCAATCATGAAATAGTAATCCTGATGGTGATTTGTTATAGGAAACAAAACCAGGCATTGGGAGAACGCTTTTCTCCCTGATGATACCCATTATTTTCCGGCGCTTAAATTAGGGTTATTTCCGTTGTGTCCTTTTTCCAAGTTTTTTGGGTGTAAAATATTTTTCAAATTTGTTAGGGGTGGCAGGAATATTTAGTGGATGAGGAGTGTGTACAGTATTGAATCAAAGAAATTGTTTCTTTTTAGAGAGATTTTGATGTTATAAATGTAAAGAATGTAAAGAAAGTTTTATGTGGTAATATAAAATGGAATATGAAAGTAGCCTCATACAAAAACTTTTGACAAAAACTTTTCTCTGAAATCCGTTGTGAACGATTTTGCATTGGCAATTTTCCCCAACAAATTGAAGTTGACTACTTATAGAAGCCTTTCACGTGAAACGTGAAGAAAGGAAACAAATGCCTTGGATAAAATCCAATACAAATCCACGACCGAAAGGCACAAAAATGAAAATAAAGAATATAGAGTCTTGAGCGTGACAAAGGATCGTGGTTTGCCCAACTTTCAATGATTTGCGGTGCTAGAACATGTTTCATTTTTCTCTTGGTTTTAGCCTTACCCTACCAACGAAACGTACTCGTAGTATATACGAAACCGGTGAGATAATATAGCACGAAGAGGTGATTTTAACGGCTATTACCCTGCAACGGCTAAAAGCGCAAATCTCGCGTGCGCTGCTCCGGTATAGCTAAGCATCGCTTTGTCGTCGTATATAAACCATTTGGGATGTTGAGAGAACGCGAAAACAATTTATAAACAATAACGTGCTAGTGAAGAATTCTTCATGATAGTCTGTACGGAAAGCTTTTAAAGTTAGCAAGCCTAGAAAGCAGCTTTAAGTAATTCTTTAATAACATTACTAGACCACATCACGTCTGAAGGCGGAGAAATCGAAAGACAACAACATCGAGCCGTGTGTCGTGTGTACTGATTCAAACGTCGTCCAACTATTTTGTTTACTCGCGGTACACTATTTTCCTTTAACAAAACTTGTTTAAGTTGTCTCAGCTTGGATTAAAATTGCCATGGAGTCGTTGTTAAAGTTTACAAAAGTGTTTGGAATGCTTAAACTTGGCAAAAACTATCAAGTGAAAGTTGAAATCGCGGACAGCAAACGGAATTGCCAAAAATCTTGAGTGCACATCTACTTTCCAAGGGTTTTTTTTTTTTTCCCATATATCACGTAGAGAAGATTCTCAGAAATATCTAAAGGAAAATGCATCTAGTATGCCGGTGCAATTTTCTTGAAGCAAGAACATGGCAAGTTTTTCCCTGATCTTGGCGAGTAGTTTGGGGAGCTTTAGTGGAGAGTTTCTGAAGGTCTTTCACTTTAAAACGCCTCAAAGGAGCAATCGGTGACATTGATAGTGTTATGTGTGCTGAAGAATTTTGCCTGCTACAGTTCGCGAGACACTGACAAATTTGTACACAGTTTATGTCACTTCATTCTTGACCAGTAGTGTAACCAAATTCGATAGATATCCAATTTGATGATAACGAATGCTGTTTTATCAGCCTGAGAATAAACTTACATTTTCTCGCTTATGAAAGTATCTTTAACGCATCAGTGGAAGTTAAATAGGAACTGGTCCTAAAACTGGATGACAAACGGCTATAAACAAAATACGAGTGTGTTTTTTTAATTTCTGCTCCCGCTTTCCGCCCTCAAAAAGATCCCTCTCCCGCCACCTGTTCTCCCGGGCTCCCTGCCCCCTGTCCCCCATGTTCCACTTGTCTCCATCCGCTAAGGCCAAAACCTAGGTAAAAACTGACAACCCTATAGAAGAAGGTCTTACCTCAGTTCGAAGAGGCCGCCTCTGCGCATGTTCAAAAATTAAATTTCCCTTATGGAAACTCAGACTGTGCCGTGTGTCAAACAGTCGTAACACCAGAAAATTTTCCCTATTTTTCTCTGCCAAAGTCTGTCTATTCCAGAAATTCTCTATTATTAGTTCAATATTTTCCCCTTTCAAACTTCTTTTGATATCTTGTATATTTTAGGCCCTTATATCAGAGCATGCTAAAAGAAGTAACAAGTTTTTTTCGAGCCTCTTATTCTCTGAACTTTGTCGTCGTATACCATGCAATTGAAAATATATAAACTTATTTTTGATAGGCAGTTGAACAACAACCAGCTGAGGAATTTACCATCACGCATTTTCAGCGAAAATACCCAGCTGTACCTGCTGTAAGTTTCTCAGTATTGGTGTAAGAGGAACGCATAGAATCCAACCTTCAAAGCAGACATTTGAATGCGTGGGTGATATCGCATATTCAATATGCGAAAAAACGTTTCAAGAATTTTTCCTAGTATGGGTCATATCTAAATAAAGCTGCATTAACACCTGGACTAGAAAAAGTTCTTTGAAACGTCTATTGGTTTAGGAAAATTGGTTCGCTAAATAGACTATCAAAGAAAAATTTGTAAGGAAATTTAGTAAAGGAATCATTGTAGTATTGAATGTTCAGCTTCGATTTCCCCTTCATTCTTAACCAGTCTAGTTATCAAGTCAGGAATACTCTATGCAGTTCAGTGTTCAGATATGTGTTTTCCTCTGATCTCTCTCCTTTGCACAAAGGGCTGAAGAAAAAAGAAAAAAAAATAAGAACAAAACAAGAACGAAAAACAATCAGCTTTGTGACACATGTAGCCTAGTCAAAAAGTGAAAGCCGATTTTGAATGAGCAAGTCAAAATACTTGAAGTGCAACAACTGAAATTGAGAATTTAAAAATGTGTCGCGCACCGTTAATTTCTCTTTAAGCTTCTATGAAAAAATACTGCGGTATACCTTAAATTTACAAATGTTAATCTGAAAAAAATTATTGAAAGGCCAGGAGGGAGTACTAATCCTATTGACCAGTTATTCCTAAATAAAGACCCAACATTCGAGCGTCTCTGAATCATCTTACCTCAAGCTCAATGGAGTAACAAAATACCACTGGTAAACACCTCAATATATCATGGTGGTGGATGACTCACTAGCTCCTGCGGATTTGAAGAGTTTTTTATAGAGATATCCAGGTCCCTGTAACCGAAATTGAATTTAACTACTGCTGGTTATATTTCTAATAAAGTGGATGTAGGAATACGGGCAATATGAGACCTGTGAGGAAACTTCGTTTCTTGAGAAATGATATTCCATGCGGGAATATGTCTAAACAGAACAAGAAACTTCCTAAATCATAGCCGCGCTCGATGAGGTATATTTGAACTAAACCAACTGAACCCAGAAATTTGTTAGCGACCATAAAATAACAATTCTGATAATAATTTGTGAGAG